CTATGATACAACATAAACACACAAATGCAGTGTAGAAAGTTCAGAAGAATGTTCAGTGGAACCTTTACTTTTTCTTCATGGGTCCAAGCATGGACGTCTTCATGTCGTCCCTAACAACTCGTCTACAGCTGTCCTTCCACTGAAGATGACATCATTTATTGATACGCCGTTGAAGGAGGCACCGACCAGAGACAGGGAGAGGTTATTGTCCTTTATGAAGCTGCACATGGACTCTAGAACCACACAAGGAGACGTTTGTTAGAAATAACAGTTCACACATAACAAGTCAATGACCAGATGTAGTTGACACGTCAGAACTCACCTACTCTCCTGTGGTGTCCCAGGTAGTACTGAGGTATACAGTCCTGTTAGTTAAAAAAAAGCCAGTTGAAAGTGTTACAATTGCATAAGCTGGTAAACATCCTTTTATGTTGAATATGACTACGTACGCCTTCGTATGGCAGTTAGAAGGACCTGAAGGTAAGAATTGGCAGCTTCATTTAACCATGTTTTTTAAAGATGTTTGACTTGGACTTTGATTTGCCTAAATCAAAGTGCAAAAAAACATTGGAACAAATGACTTTGTGACAGAAATAAGCTTGAACATTAATCTTACCGTTGCCAATTCAACATTTACCAAGGTTAAACACAAGGTAGTTGTTGTGGAAATTCAATGTTCCTTTTTCATCTTAAATATACCCTGGAGTTAAAAGTAAAAACTTTTCTTTTTACCTTTTGCAGAACCACTCGACTCCAGCAGGGCGCAGTGTTGACCTGCAGGTGGATGCGCACTGCCTCAGCAGCTCTGGCTAACAGACGCTCCTCCGTCACCGTTTCAGGAGAACCGAACTCATCCTGGAACCAGGCCCCGCCCATCATCACCTGAGGAGACATGAACGGGAGACAATATGTTTACGGTGATAATAAATAATAAAACCGCCTGGATCAAGAGAGTGAAGGAATTTTACTCTTTATCTGCTCAACCAAAGGCTCGTCACCTCCTCAAAGTAATGACATCTTAAACGCCCAAATAAAAACAAATGTATCATTATAACCCTGCTGGGTCCTAGTGTTAACACCGGTACATCAGCACTGGCGTCTGGTTGAGATATGAAGGTCAGGATACGGTCAGAGCTCAGTTTGTGTGTGTGTGTGTGTGTACCGTCAGTCTCGTGGTCAGTCCATCCGGTCTGTTGTGTTCAGGGAAGGTAACAGAGTCATAGATAATCCCCATTACAGCAGGATCCTCCCAGGATGGGATCAGGTGACCAAAGCCCTGAGAACACAGTCAGGGAAGTGAAGTGAGGTTTTTTTCTTTTTTTTTTTGGTATCAAATCCTGCCATGACAGAAAAATACTGTTCTTGTTCTGTTCTCACCATCAGTGGTAGAACACAACCTTCATACTCCAGGTTGACCACAGCCACAGTTACAAAGTTGATTTCTTGCAGCTCCCGAATCAGTGGTTCACAGGAGGATGGGAGCACGGAGGAGAGAGCTGAAATGAAATAATGTTGTAGTTGAGTAGCTCTCCACCATCACAGCCAAAAAAACACTGTGGTTTATGTTGCTGTAAAATATTACAGTAGGGAAAAAAAACTTTTACTATTATCTGACACAAAGTTCAGTGTTGTGTTAAAACACAGACTGAATCTTACATGTTGTCAACAGAGGCTGTCTCTCTTCCAAAGGAACTTAAAATTGTCACATCGTAGTAATTAATCTACAGATTACTCTGATCACCAGTGAAAATACAGGCCCTTAAAATTCTAAGCACTACAGAATAAAAATCTCTCACCTTTGGCAGGAAGTGCAGAGATGATGTGATCAGCAGATACCACGCCATCCTCCAGCTGAATCTACACACAGATAACACACACACAGACAATACAGTGAGATACTCCCTTGATAACTGTACCAGACATCTAACAATGAGTGCATTTGAGTTAATCCCTACTATCTATTATTTTAAAATATTAAAGGTTCTGCAAAGTTTTTTTTCCTGTTTTTGTGGAAAATGTGATTACAATTATGTCAAGTCTGTAGTTCCAAAACACTTGGAGTTGAGCTTTGAGCTGGAGCATTTGAAAAAGTGAAAATATTTTTAAACAAAGAAAGTTTTTTTAAACAAATTCAGGCAGCATGGATTTACATTCTGATGATTTCAGTTTCTTTTGTTCACTGAATAACGTTTTGTTTATGTAGGTTTGCTGTGCCAACTGCTGCCTTTTGAAATCCCAATATTCACTTTGAAACACTCAAATGTGTGTGTTTTCCCCCCCTGAATCATATAAAGATGTGTCTGTGATCTACTTTAGTGGAAGAAGATTACTGACTGTCCAACCAGAGGCTGAGGGGCTGATGTGTTGAACAGCGGCATCTGTGTGAAGCTCCACTCTGCCGCTCTGTTGAAGAAATTCACAGATGGTTTCTGCTAGACTCTCCATTCCTCTCCTCAGTGACCACTGACTCCACCACTCTTTTATAGATCTCTGAGCCAGAGGACCAGAGGAGACCACAGGACCAGGATCTGTAGGACATGACACAGGCCACTTTAGGGAGCTGGTACAAAGGCTGGGGGTGAGGTACCCCTGTGGAGTTCACCAGTTCAACACAGGGGTCACAAACACAGACAAAGAGACATCCAAACTCACACTCAAACCTGGTTTAACCTGATCCCCAAACTGGCAGTTTTTGTACCATAAGAGGAAACTGGAGAACATGGAAAACACACACACCCATCTAATATGGAAATATTTGAACCATCTTATCTTTTTGAAACAACCCTCAGATTGACAGTTACAGTGAGTATAGTGTACCTGAGCCCAGCAGCATCCCCAGGATCACGGAACCTCTGCGCTGCTCAGCGTTGTACAACATGGGCAAACAAGAGCGAATACTCAGCCTCTTGCTATCACCTGCAAACACACCGCGACACAAACAGTCCACAGCCACATCTGCCAGCTGAACACACAAACACATACAGACAGATGCACCAGATGAAGATACAGATTAAATGGTAGGTACATCTGTCACTTTCATACAGACTTGTGTGAGCAGTCAAGGATGTACCTCTCACACAAACCCAGTTATTCATAGCAATTTATTAAAGAGTCAAATGATAGCATGTTATGGCGGGCTGGTAATAATTTGCTGGACATGTAAATGTAAATTTACAGGGCATCTCCTCACCTCCGCTCCCAGCCTACGTGAAAAAAATGAGTGAACAGACTCATCATCCTTATCAGACTTCTTCACCAATAATTCGTTGACAACATTCCACAGGAGAGGACGGGAGAAGGGTGGGTTTGTCCTCAAAAGTCCACTACAACAAAGACAAAAGTGAATGTGATGTGGGGAAACTCAAGCATTTTCCAAAGTGAAAAAACACAACATTTAATATCAAGCACAGAATCATCTGACCTGATTCCTTTTGGCAGAGAGTGGAGCTGCCCATGAATATATAGAAACCTGTTCCTAGAGGCAACATGACGACTGTTAACAGAAAGAAGCTCTGGCTCTAGACCCAGGTCTTCAACCTATACACACAACAAAACATGTTTTTTCAAGATGATTTCTAACGTAATGTTTGAGAATGTGTTCTTTCTTGAAATAAGACACACCATATTTAATGTGTTGCGTCCCACTGCCCCCAAAGATCGTATTCCTCTGGGTCCATGTTCAAACACGGTTCCATCTGCCCTCCTGGTGGACTGGAGCCAACCCCCAAAACGGCTGCTGGACTCTAACAGAATGACCTGGAGGCAAAGAAGTAGAAACAATGTAAAAATGCCATTAAACTGTTCCACAGCACCCACTTCCCATTTGTTATTAGTATATCTACAGCAAATTTTTTTTTTATTCATTTGTGACCTTGGTAACCTGTGGGTTTTTGCACAGGTAATAGGAGGAGGCCAAACCCCCGATCCCTCCTCCGAGGACTGCAACGGCTCTCATTGGCTCTGTGGATGGACAAAAAATAAATTGTTATCATATATATTTGCAAAGCCCCGAGTCACACAAATCACACACAATTACTTAGGTGTGTGTTTTTAAATCTAGAATCACAGTGATTTGTAGTTCAACTGTGTAGGTAAAAGTGAGAAGTGTGGGAGAAAGCTGATACGCAGTGGGTGAGGGTGAGACGAGGAGAGTGAGGATGAAATGTCAGGTATGGTTAAGTTAGAATCATATGGACTGAAGATAAAGTAGCTGACTGAGTCACAGCTCAGCCAGGGAGTGTCTCTCTGTTCAGTGGTCTGTTGATGTTGATAATGACAGACAGTTATTTTATCAGCTGTCTGTCCATTTACACACACTGACATTATTGACAGTGTATGTTCTGTATACAAATGGATGAAAAAATAAAAGTGAAGTACTCATGTTGTTATTGACACCAGTGACAATCAAATAGCAGGAGGATAACTGAGCCGATACATGCCTCAGGAAATGTGCAACAGGAATGTGAAACAGGCGAGGATGGCTGTTCTTTGGGGACTGTTTGGTAGAGCTTAAACATATATATTCTGTAGATTACATATTTAAAAAGTGACAGAGCCAGCATAGGCTCTCAGGCAATTCCCAGGTCAAAACAGGAAGTGCTTTGCTGTTTTCAGAAACGTCAGGTTTGTGAGCTACTTTTTAATTGATGTATAATAAAAAATAAAGCAGTTTAATGAAATACTGGCTAATTTTCAGTGCTTTTCGTACTAAATGTCTGCATTGAAAATACCGAATTTAATTTAGTTACAAAAATAAAGTACACACAGCACATAATGGAAAGCAATGGTGACTGAATTTGGTCACTTATTATTGCTCTACAAAGTAACTTTAATTACATTTCTTTTACATTCTGATGCTTCTAGAAGAACGTTCTTTTTAATAATGATTCGTTTGAATGTGTCTTCAAGTCTAAATGGATTAAGCCAAAGTCATGCGATGACAAATTTAAAAGTTATTTACTTTATTCGTAAATGGTAGGTTTATATTTTGCACGATAGTTTTAAGACAACAGCAGCACCAGTGTGGTCTTCTGTGCTCCCTCTACGGAAGACGCATCTGTTATCTCAGTTTGTTATCAGTACAGAATAAACTCAAATATTTATTTTAAAGATTTTCCTGTCTGTCCACCAGAGGATCGGGGCTTTACTCCAGCTACAAAATGTGATATGTGTTATTTAATATAGTGTGAATGAAGACTGAAAACGCAAATACTCACACATTAGCATTTCGGCCACTACGGTACTTGCCTTTCTGTGACGTTAAGCCTTCAGTCCGCGGTGTTGGTGTTCGGTTTTGTGCGTCTTCACCAGCTCCAGAAAAAACAACAGTTTTTACCTGTGTCCTTCATGACACAAGCAGCTCACATGTGAGTTTTTACCTGTGTTCTTCATGACACAAGCAGCTCACATGTGATACTGATTGACTTTGGTACCCCATGTCGTACCGACAGTTCCGTTCTAGTTGTCAGAATATATAATTCAAAAAGCACATCACTGCCTCCAGCTGGTGTGGAGCGTAATTGCATTTTGAAAGATTAGACATAACTTTATGGTAATTAGTATTTCCTATAATATTAAGAGTTCGTTTTTAACCTTTTTTTTACAGTTACGCCATGTATACCAACATCTCTGAATTAATGTTGTAACCTGGAAAGAATATGACAATCTGCATGGGATGTTATTTTATAAAGTTAGGTGTCTACTTGACAATAAACCTAGGACTGTCAGATGCTTCTCTGCTGTCTTAAATCTACTCACCATTTGTCAGATGTTCACTTCCAGCAGGATAACATGCCATGGATGTGCCAGTTACAAATCCGCTGGATTTATTAATGTCTCTGTAATCGATGACTCAGAGGAAGATTTTCTGAGATATGTTCCCCTGATGTCATGAAGCTCCTAAGCGGATCCACTGAGGACATACCTGATGAAGTAACTGGTGAGTTTACATACAGACCATTTTTGGGAACAAGTTGAGGTCACGAAATATACAGAACTAAGTACCCACCAAAAAATGACGAGCAACCTCCAACATTACCAGGTTTACTGTGCCTGAATGAAGAGAGGATCAGCAGAAGATCTTCACCTGAACCACACACAGACACTCAGACAAACCAGTTAAAGAGCTGTGTCACATCCGCAGCAGGAAGAAAAGTGGAGATCTGACGTTTGTTTGACTTTGGTGTGCAAAAGTATACTCTTTATTCTTATTATATATCCAACTTTATTTTGCCCCAACCCCTCCCCTCCACCCAGCCCCCACAACCAGTGGCATTCCCATGTCACCAGTTACTGTCACTGTTACAATAGCCAATCGGAGCTCACCTGCAGAAAGAAGGCAACCAAACAAAGAAGAGCAGAAAAAAGGGTTACTTTCAGTTTGTTTTTTCTTGTTAAATAGTAATAAATACATTGAGATGCAGTGGTTCTTACTTTATCCGTTTCTCTTAAGCAGAAGGGTTAAAAAGTTTTTTTTTTCATTATTTCTGTTTCTATTTCTTTTTATTTCTTTAATTGATCTGTGTTGGATCTTTAGCAGCAATCCGGACCAGTTGTCATGGTGATTAGCAGCACAGAGAGGAGGAGCTGTCTGGAGGAGAAACTCAACAGGAGGAGGAGGAGGAGATGAAGAAGTGAGCGGGGACAAATGTGAGAAAACAGGAAAAGAGGACAAGGAGGAGGAGATCCCCATGAGCATCAGTGTCCCGTCACCTTCTCCTCCATCCACCCCCCCCCCCCCCCCCCCCCCCCAACTCTCTCCATAACTTTGTAACAACCAGCAGGAGACGGCGAGGAGGAGCAACAGAAGGAGGAAAACGTCAAGAAGAAACTGAACACCGAGAAAAGGGTCCTGAATCACAGAAACAGTATGTTGGTCTTGTCTTTTCTTCAAAAGAGTCTTAATGCACACTTAATATATATATGTATATATATATATATACATATATATATATATACACACACACACACACACACACACAACGATGTGTGGGCACTAAGACCGCTCTCCTCCAAAACCTACATATATACTAACATCTAACCGGTGTGAACATGGAAATGTGCTCTCTGACCATTTACTGCCACCATGTGGCGTAAAAATGGAAAAACATGGCTCCTCTCTCTCTCTCTTTCCTCTTCACCTCCTCCTCCTCTCCAGGCTTAAACAACAACAACCAAGTAGAGCACACAACTCCTCAAACCCGAGAGAGAAAAAAGAAAATCAAATATTAAACAACAATAATAATATTATTAATAATAATAATAAAAACAAACTTTTTTCGATTCATTCCTTTCCAATTACAGTTGCAACAAAAGACAACAAACTAAAACAGGATAAAAGGAGAGTTTTCCCAGCATTCTCCTCCTCCTTCCTCCTCCTCCTCCTCTCATGCAGTACAAACTGTCTCTTTGCAGCACAAAGTTCACCTCTGTGTCTCTGAACTCCGGCTGTATGTGTGTAGTTGTAGTAGTTGTAGTTAAAATTGTATGGCTTTAGGGCATGGTTCAGGTTTTATCAAGAGTTGGCCGGCCCCTCATCTGAGTCCGGCCTCCCTCTGCCACCCGCAGCAGGGTTATTGTTGTTGGAGGCAGGGTAGTAGTCCTCAGGGGTCGGGGCTTGTTGCCCTGGGGCTGTGGGGGCCGTCCGAGTCCGGAAGGCAGACAGTCCAATTGGCAAAGCGAGGGGCAAGGAGGCTGAGCCAAACTGAGAGGCCTCCATGGAAGACACCGCCCCCAGGTGGTGCAGCCCTAGGGACACGCCCACATCCATGCTGTCACTCATCTGGGGCGAGGATCCCTGTTGGCCCCCCCCACCACCTATGCCCGTCTGCCCGCCCTGCCGCAGGCCTCTCCCGCCGTTTCCGTGGTGGGAGTAAGTTGGATGGGGATGGTGGGCCGCGTCCAGGAAGTGGCGCTGGTGTTGCTGGGTGGCAGCCGGCTTGTGGAGCAGCAACTGGGTGTATGCTGGGTCCTGACCCCCACCTCCACCATCACTGCCCGGCCACATCCTCATCTGCTGCTGGGAGGGAGCCTGGTGTTAGTCAGTGGTTCAGACAAAAGACATAAGTGAGACTACAGCCATTCGACTGTAAAAAAAAAAATAAAAAAAAGTTGAAATGGTGCATCCATGTCAACACACCTGAAAATGTGAATCAGGTTTACTCCTGACAAAAAAGAACAATGATGAAAAGGAAGATTACTGTTATGAGACAGACAATGGAGTGAAAGCACAGACTATGCACTCTGCTGGCCTTACATGCTCTCAGAATTAAGTCCAATGTCAGTTTCTGATCTTGAAATTGTTGAATTTTAAATTTGAGCAAGTGCAAAACTGGGAAACTTTGTCAACTTAAGCGTGTGGTCTTCATAAACTTTTTTAAAAATGTTCTATTATGTGAATCCCATTTTTTTTTTACTACAGCATCAGAAAACCTTTATCAAGATGGAAGTATATATATTTTTAGTAGCACGTAAGGACAGCAAAAGAAGTGAACACAACTATCTGTTAGGTAAAGCCCCAGAAATGGACCAGAAATGCCCAGTTGGTGTCTTAAGAGTAGAATATGAAAAGAAAGAAGAAAAAACTTAGAGGAAAAGTAAGAATGTTCTTACATGATTTATAAAATAAAATAATTTCCTAAACATTGAACCATCTCAATCTCTAGTTTAAAATCCATGCAGTTGTATACTTTGTGTGTAAAATTTGTAAATTGTGTGTCAACCTAATAGGAATTTTATTCAAATCAAGTTCAACTGGAGAAAGACCAGAAACAAGGACACGGAGAACATAAAAACTTCTAATGGGGAATGTTAAGTGATCATTAATCTGATCAGTTTTTTTTCCATCAACTTCCATTCATAAGAAACTGTAAAATTAGTAAAGCACTTCCAGTTTTAATCCAGGGCTTCACTTATCAACCACAGTTTGAGACAGAAGGTTATCTCTCAGAATCTGTGGGTGAAATTAAACACTGAATTTAAAGATTATGTTTCTAAGGTACAGATCAAACGTGGAACAGTACAGGGTAACGACCCTTTGATGAAGCAAATATCATCACAAATTTGAAAGTGTCTTACAATGTAAATCCTATGAATAATTTGCATTTTAAGATGCCATTGTTGGTGTGAGGAGGTCTGAAGTCTAAGATACAGAGTGTTCACTGAGGGGACAGCTGAGTAACCAGGTGTCCAAGGTGATGCTGCGCTGTTTGTACCTGAGGGCTGGTCATCTCATAGTCTGAATGTGTAACAGCAGAGTTGTAGTAGCGGTTACTGTAGCGGTAGTTGCGGTTGTCATTGGAAGAACCACTGGAGCCACCTGAAAACAAAAGGTTTTTCCATTCAGTCAAAATAAGAAATAATCAAATCCATGAAAAACTGGACATGACCCACTTAAGCCTGGTATTTTGTATTGAGCAGCCTGACTAATGTGTAGCTGACATCATGTAGTTGTGTGTTGTACAGCAGGTTGAATTTCTTATGATTATTATTTGTTTTCTTCATTACCAGAGCTAGATACAGAGCTAGTAGTGGAGGTTGAATGTGAGTGGTCCATGGCAGGAGAGGTGGATGTCGATGAACTGGTGTTGGTTCCCTCATCTGTCGTCTTCTTGAAGAAATTGTGCTGCAGGGCGTAGAATGGTGTGATACGGCTTTTAGGGTCGTAGTCCAACATGCGAAGGATAAGATCTGAAAATAGAACAGAAGGTATTGTTAGGGTAATGACAATGATGTGTATTTTGTGACATTTAAATGACTGGAAAAGTTCAACATAGACTTGTTCAACATAAAAACATGTTTGTACTGCATGCAAGTGTCTTATTTTATTTCCTGGAAATGCCACTGTGGAAAATCAGCTTCTTTGATGCAATCTTTATTGTCACCATTAGATGTCACTACTTCTTAAGCATAACATTTTACATCCCTGTGGGAAATAAGTTTTTATATAATGTAAAATTGGCAGCAATGCAGTTTCTCAAATATTTAGTTTACCTTTAAACTTCAGGTAGTCACAAGGAGCGTGTCCTGGCTCCCCTGCCCTTCGGCCCCCGGGGCCCCCAGTCTCCACACCCAGAATTTCATGGAGACGCCGCGTAGCTGGGGGCTTATACTCCTTCAAAAACAAAGTGATGAATAGAAATTTTATACCTTAAGTACAATGGGCTCAACATATATAAGTAGGTGGTGCATATAATATAACAGATCAGAGTCTGTGGTGAGCTTTTCACTCACTACATAAAAATGTTAGAATATCGAAATGGAGTCCCCTAGTGACACTTTCTTTGTTTCACAATGTCTGGTCTCACTGTAGACAGGAGGCTACACAAACATCAACACACACCTGCACACACAACATAATCTCTGAACTAATACCTTCTTGATGTCCTTGTTCTTCTTTACTGTCCACAGGCCGTCAGAGAGCTTGTCAAAATACTTCCTGGCTTTAGGAGCTGCGTCTAGCATGTGGCTGGGAGGGACTCCCAGAACCTCTACTATTTTATTCATCTGGTCAACCTGAACACACACATACAGTCGATTAAAGTCTGTGTTGCTACAGACTACAACCTCAGCGTGTGAATCAAACTTTGTTTTACCTCATTGGAGCCACTAAAGAGTGGCTCTCCTGTGTGCATCTCCACCAAGATGCAGCCCAGTGACCACATGTCGATGGCCAGGTCATATGGCATTCCCAACAGAACCTCTGGAGAGCGGTAAAACCTGCTCTGGATATACTGATAGATCTGAGAAGAGAAGGAGATCGGAGCTTAGCTCATTTGTCTAAGCTTTAAGCTGCATTCTTAGCATCCTCTACAGGGACTCAATGCAGAAGTATATGTAACTGTCAAGAATGTTTTGAAACAGATACTGCACTTGTTCTCATTCAAACACCAAGTGAGGCATTTAACAACACATATAAATCTCACAACAGTGTGTAGGTGTTATTGTTGTGCTCACCCTCTGTCCGAGCTGGCAGGAGGATCCAAAGTCGACTATCTTAATGGCAGATCTCTTGGGGTTACACAGCAGGATGTTCTCTGGTTTCAGGTCGCAGTGGATGATTGACAGCTCTGGTGTGGCCAGGAATAATAACGCTGTGAACAAAACAACACGTTCTTAATTTAATTTCCATTTTTATTTTATTTGTTCATTCTTCTAATGACTTGGACTGGAATGTGTGAATAATACTGCATTTAAAAAACAGCAGTAAATAGCAGTGCAATGTTATGGAAATAAATGGGAAGATTTCAAACATATTTTAATTTCAAACATTCAGACATCAAACATATTACTCAATTATCATTTAACCCTTGCAGCTCCATATCTGACCTGCAATTTTTGCTTTGACGTATTTACGTATTCAAGCTGTAGTTTATCCTTTTGCCACATGGGGGCAGGCTTTGACAACATCTGTAAATCATAGCCTAGATATTTCCCCCCACTATTACCTGTACAGAGCTGCTGTGCAAATTTCCTGGTGAGGTTGAGGGAGACTCCTCTGAAGTTGGTGTTCCTCAACAGATCGTAGAGGTTGTAGCTCAGCAACTCAAACACCAAACAGAGGTGGTTTCTAAACATAAAGTGACGCTTCAAGTGGACTACACACAAACACAGAAACAGAAAGAATTAGGGAGAGAGGTAAATAAACACTGGCAGAGAAATCCACAAGACCTGGACATAATTTGCTCGTTGCCGACAGAAGCCCGTTCATCAAGGGGTATTGTCTTGTTCTTTTGTGTTTGTGTTCCTTCCTCCTGAACACATGGATCATGTCTAAACTTTTCAAAGCAGAATGCGAAACATCTCACTGCGAACCTTTGCCGGTTTTTTCTAATGCTTTTAGCAACATCTCAGCTCAGGCTCAGCTGATGACAGGAAGGAAACGAGACTTGCAGCATTAAATTAAAAACATGTTGCCTTCATGTCACTGACACTTCTTCGGTCAGGCATATTTAGAATTGACATCTTTGAAACAACATAACAACATATGGTTTTCTGCCCTTCAACTACCTTAATGAATAATTTGAATGAATGAAGACACTGCAGAATATCTGTCAACCCTGAATATCATTTCACATTACATTCCCTAAAAAACCTTGTGTGATGAAAATGTGTGACGTTAATGGAGCTGCATGTCATCCCAGTTCATCTTACCTATGTAATATTTCATTTCAGTGTCATGCTTGTTCATGAGCTCCAGCAGACGTAGTTCAATCTGTGCCTGGTTTAGAAATGCCTTTTTGTTCTTGATGATTTTTATGGCAACCCACTCCTGCTCATGGTGGTCGTAGGCCTTGACCACCTGTAGATGGACAACAAGAGTGTGTCATGAATTTGCTTGTCTTCTACTTTATGCAACATGCCATCAGGCTTATTTTCCCACATATTTGCTTAAGGCACAGCCTCAATGCCTCAATTTACTCTTTTGGAGACTTTGTTGACTTCACCTGTCCAAAAGAGCCCTTCCCAATCAGTGAGTCTATCTCATAGCGGTCCAGCCACTTCTCTCCATTTTTCACAATATAGTCGTAGTTGTCGTCATCATAACCGTCGTTGTAGACTTTCCTCTCCTTCTTGGTGCTGCTGTCCTCTGGTGGGACCTGCTGGGCCCGCCGCTTCTTCTTAGTATAGTACACCTGAGCAAAAAAAGATCAGCAAGTTAACAATATAACAGTTTATTTGAATAGTAGAAATACATTTATTCCATGAAGTTTAGACTGGCTCTAAACTGCAACTCATTGACAGCCAGACTATCAGGTAAAAGTTCACCAACTGCAGCTTATTGTCAGTTCACCGTTGATTCCAGGTTGATAACATTTTTTCTTGTGCTTTAAGTCATGTTTACCAACAACTGGCCAAGTGAGTGTGAGTGTGTGTGTGTGTGCGTGTGTGCGTGTTACCTCATTAGGAGGCTTGTAGGTTTTGATGAGGTCAACAGAGAGTTTCCTCAATGGGGCACTGGCAGGGTCTCTGAAACTAGGGGGGATCCTCCGCTGGAGTATGGTCATATCAGACAGCACCTACAGAGAAGGGAAAATATTTTTCAGTTAATGGTTAAATCATTTTTTTATGCCTAACCTGGAAACAATGTCAGTTGTGGTGACCAGTTTAACTCAAGGAATTAAAAAATGCTTTCAGAACAACCAAAAACGCATACTTTGTTTTAAATTAAATTATTTACGAGAGTGACAACATGCTATTACCTCACTTTGAAGAAGTGTTTGCAAAGGTGAATACTGATCAGATAAACAATGTTTTACCTTAATCAACAGCAAAAGACTGACTCAACAATGACATGAAAGGCATCAATTCAAGGCTTTTATTAGAATCCACTTCACCCCTGATGTTTGTTGCTAACATGTCTCTGGCATCGCGTTTTATTAAAATTTAGGTTTTCACATGTAGTTGTCACAGATTTTTTCTTCGTCGTGGATTTATACGACATCTTATTATTGACATCTTTTTGTTTCCTTACTGCCACCCTCTGGTGGAGTCTTTCCCTTTTCAAATGCAGCTGGAGCCTTTCATTGAGGCCATTCTGTATCTGGAATCTGATGATCTACTTTCCATCAAGTGTTTTGTCACATGATAGCACCAACTAAAGGTATTTTCTTTCTCTTCTGTACCTCCTCTCGTTAACTGCTGCCTGACAGTTATGTGCTGCATGTCACAGAGGTTTTTAAGGATTTGGAGACTGATTGAAGTCTGGCCATGGTTGCAGTGAAGATGCTGACTTGTGATCTCAGTTGTTGGCAGCTGATGGCCATCTTTAGTGAGTAGACACAAACTCTACTTTTCCATTACACTTTGCAGTGTTTTGTCAATTTTATCTCGATCTGCTGCACTGGTATGATGGGGCTGCAGCAGCAGCGGCCTCATCCTTTCATTAAGCTTGAGTTTGCTGCATCTGAGGCAACTGATGTAGGACAAACACAAACAGTGGATGGGCTGTTTGTTTTTCACAGGCTATGTACCACAGATATAAGAGGTAATAAGGTGCAACTTTGTTGGGAGCCAACAGCTATTCTATACTCAACTTACAGAGCTTGAATGTGGCTCTGTGTGTTCAGATTGAGGTTCCATCAACTGTGGAGAGTTTTAAGAGATATAAGTGATCTCTTTGTTCCCTTCAGCTTAAAGAAAAGAAAACTGTTCTTGATTTAACTCCTTTGTTCTGTCTGCTCTTTGCTGGATGAACTCAGCATCAGGCCTAAGTCACGCTTTTATACATCTACATTGCAAAGGTTACCTTGGGTCTGCTCAACTTATCATTAGCCCATGTTCACAAGGTTTTGTGAAGACTGAAAAGATACATCTTAATCTTTTAGTGAGTAAGAAAGTTAGGAAGTTTAAGGGTTCTCAGTGATGCACATCGGTATGTTCCTAGAATCCTAGAAGGGCTTCTTGTCTTATTCTTTAAGTGCAAAGTTGAAAGTATCCTCTCTACTAAAACAGATAATTGTCTTTGAGGAACACCATCTGATTAACCACACCATTTGTGATGTACTACTTGAGAGCATACCCTTAGTTACATGTTCAGTAAGAGTCTAGCACACACAACTCCAGTGGGTTGCTCAACTCTAGCTGAAAAGAGCATAAAACCAGTTCAAAGGTTAAGGCTAAAAGGAAGCAGTAAAGCACTATTACAGATGCCAAAAGTCATAAAACACCACCATAGTAGACTTCAGTCAACTTTTCTCACTTTGATCTTCAGCTTTGTGGACCACTGGTTCATTTAGAGATACTTAACTTTGGCAAGAGCCTGGATAAAGATTGTTTTTATCCATTATTCACCGAACCTTCCACGATTGATGAGAAGAAGGTTAAGTGTGCAATAACTTTTCGTGGACAGAGTAAAGTTTAGAGGCTTTGTCTTTACTGCAGAACTGGATTTACTTGGTGGAGGTTTTGGTGTTGACTTTATGCTACTTCAATCAAGAGAATGCATGACGTTTGTCAATATTATTATAAATTATAAAAAACAAAAAACACTGTCGGTTAAGAAATGGCCACGTGTTAAGCTTGAAGTTAGGATACAAATAAGGATTTACTTTTTTTGAGAGCATGAAGGTTAAAGGGCGTTCTCCGTCTTAAACATTCTTTCCATCAACAGGTGACATTGGTGTGTAATTTATAAGTTCCAGTTTCAAAGCTATAAATGGTAGGCCGATAGGTGCCTGTGCCATACCTGCTGCTGCTCGGCCATGGAGTGGATGGAGCTGAAGTTGGGGTGTGTATGTGTGTGCTGGCTGGTCATGGCTGGCTCAGCGAGGGAGAAGCCCTGGGCAGTGGAGGAGGAGGAGGAGGAGGAGGAGGAGGAGGAGGAGGTGGGCGGACATCCTGAGCTGCTTACACCTGAGAACAGGGGAAGAGAGAGATGATCAGAGGGGGAATCTCCAACATTTTAATACATTACCCCCAGCGCCCCCTTTTTTGGTACTGCATTACCGCTTTTGTTGCAAAGCAGATCAGAAAACACACATCTATCACATCACTGTCCCTAGTTATTGCCTATGCCATCGAGCATCTGTATGGCACAGATTTAACCACAAAAGGTATACAGTGCAAATCTTTGTCACTGCCCAAAATTCATATAGGAGAAGCATCAGGGAATCGTTACACACCCGATACATGTCTCATTGGTACTTCAAGTTAAATCACACATGGTGTTTGGTTTATGTTTAATAACAAGTGGTAATATCTGTCACAAAAGTCTTTACAATGAGAGTTTGAAAGGCTATTTCAGATATTACCTTGTGCCTTAACCCCCAATACTCGACCTGTTGGATTACAAAGCTGTGATTCTCTGTTAAATATTCTAGAACAGACACTTGTTAATGACTGGACCTCCTACAGTATGTTTACCGCCGGGCTAAAAACAAGCATCATCTGGTCAAGGATTACCATTAGCAACCTCAGGCAAACTCTGACAAAGCCAGTTCAAGTTTGTAAGAATTTGCCACACATTGACTTAGTGGCTAAACTGAAAAAAAGTACTGATTCAAAGCACAAGGCCGATTCTGACCTTTTTTCTGCCTGGAAGCAAGTTTACACAAGATTAACTCTACTAGGACCAGGTCTACCACTGATGACAATGTACACCAGTTAAATGTGCACCATCGAGTGCAATCTTGGGCTGATAACAAGCCAAGTAAACCATAATGGACACAAAAACATAGAGCATGAGCAGGGTTTATAAATCTGACAGTTTTATCCTGCAGATAAGAAAACACATACACAGCTTTTGATAACATGTGAAGCCCAAAAATATCTCAGGAAACGCCCATACTAGATATTAATCTTAAGATTTTCTGAGAAGACTTGTTTCAGGGAAAAGACAAGTTCAACCAGCTGTGAATTGAAGCTCTCAGAATTGACAGTTTCCTTTTACTGGGGAAAATGTGACGTTAATGTAGCCTTAGGCTCAACAATTGTATATTCGAGTAAAAGAAATGTAATAAAATGTTCTTGTACAAGAGGTGTTTGTCATCAAACACACAAAACCACATAGATAAAAAGTAATCTGTGTGATTAAGGGAATCTCAGAGTAACAAATAAAAAGTTTTGATGCGATCACATGAACTTCACATAAAGAAAGATAAAACACAGAGGAGTCCTTGAGAACAACCTTCTTCTCCAAGGTTATTCTGAAACATCACAAACACATATGAAACACACATCCACAACGCTGACTAAAAATAAAAAACTGAAAGCACCATATATTTACATCTCTGGGCCTGACAGTGAAAACACAGCTAAATATCAGTGGAGGCTACAGCAGGAAAACTAGCCAAAAGCAGTAACATACATTTACAAATGGAACATCCACATGAAGGAGTTTGCAATAGGAACTTGAGCTGCTAGAGAACATGTGGAATGAGGTATACTAGGAACATGTGCGAGTTGATGCAGTCTTTCATGAAGCAAGTTCAAAAGCTACTCCTGATCATGCAGCAGGTGTGATCAAAAACTGCTGGAAGAGCTTGCAAAAGAATGAGAACTCCTACAATATTAATAATAAATATACAAGACAAGAATAACCTTTTACTGAAAATATTTAATATAGTATAATATGACTACATGCACTGGCTAGAATTTATATGTACTTTTATTTAGTGTGGCCAATATTGGTTTTTCCAGTAATACTCATCATCTGCAACAACAACAACCATACACCACCAAACTGCACTTTCTTGCTCAGCCACAAAGTATATATTCCAGAGCCTTAACACGGACAACAGCTACATTCATATTAGGAATAAGTAGGTTTTGCCAATTAATGAACAAAATAAAAGCTTTGAATGTGAAGTAACAGCACAATGGAGTTTCTCTGCTGTAAAAGTACATATAAGAGGAGACAGCAGTTAAAAAAAATGGATTTGAAAAATGTATGAATAGTATACATACAAAAATTAATTTTCAGTTTGTTTTCTATTTAGTTACTTAATTATTATAGTTATTTAATTACCGCAAAAAAAAATTTTCAGTCCATCAGTTAACAGAATCAGAAGATTTTTCCCTGAAACCAACCAGGACGAGCACTTTCAGGCTGAAGCAGTGAAAGAAGACTAGAGTGCACCATTATACTGACTAGCACAGATTCACATTGGCAGACAAACCCCCATCTGATAATGCAGAAGCCCTTCCACTGGGTACTATAGTTTCTCTATAGCCATCAAAGCAAGAGAGGTGCAAAGTTGGGTCTATTTTTAAACCACTTCACCATAATTTAGAGCAGACACTGAGTGAAGATGTACGTAATCACAGGTTTTTCACCATCTCTAAAACACTTCAACTTAGTCCAAAGGATTGGACATTATAAATGAATATGAGACTGAGGCTAAATAGGCTCCGTTTTTAAATTTTGCATTCATCCACGTTTTCACTTTGTATTGCTGTGCGATGAGGAAGAGAAGGTAATCCAATCAATGTCAGTAGGACTGTTATGGTGCTATGGGCCCTGGCCTGCTTTCAGACATGACACTGCTAGAGAGGGAGAATATCTGCCTAGTACTGAGAAATCTGCACCGTCTCTTTAAGAGACTGAGAGGCACTCACAGCACTTCCTCAATCTGGCATCCCCCCTCCTTGCTCTGCCATTGGCCGGGGCCCCCTCTTTCTCTGTCAGCTGATTCGCTGTTGGTATCTAAGGGCTGGCTGGCCAGCACTCTATAAATAAACCCTGTGCTGTCTCAGCAACCACCCTACAATACTCATTAGCTACTTCTCTCTCTCCTCTTCCGCCTCGCTCCTGCTAAGTAAGTACCTTCCAATAACAGGCCTGGCTCTCAGCAGCAGTCTGACATACTCTCCCCTAGCAACCCAACCCACCCTACCAGCCATGTCCTCCTCCCCTTTTCTTCATCATCCTTTCTCAAACACCCCTTTATGTCTAAATATGCTTCTGTTCATCCATCCATCGTCCGTGTATCACTCTGTTCTTCCTTTCTAGTGTTCAGTAACTATTTTTTCTTTGATGCCAACGGTTTCATCATTCCATCATTGTTCTGTTGATGAGCAATGATGTAACACTTTTTCGGGCAACAAAGACAAGTCATTCTAAGGAAGCACAGGAAGACACAAACAACACATCACAAACACTACCAACTCCCAACTAGCTACTATATGATGAAAGGCAACAGTGAAACAGCCAGATTCAAAACAAGTGAACCCACAGTTGCGCAACAGAGCCATTAAAAAGTCTGTACCACTAGCTTTAAAACACAAATCTGTATACCAGTGGCCTCACACGGGTTCCAATCAGCCCAAGACATTGTGTATAAAATTGGAGTACAGGAGTACAACAATTGCCTAAACAAGTGGGTCACCGAAACATAAAGAAAAAAATATTGCCATAATTAAACAATAGTTGAAAAAGAATGGCCTTTCACACATAAAAACTCTTGTGTACAGGCATCAAGGTAGTTTCCTCTAACTATTTTAGAATTCTTGAACAAAACATTTTTGGATTTTTTGAAAATGCGGTTGAATTTGACCACCTAGGAAGAATGTGTAGTTTTCTTTTATCACAGTGAAAGGACTTGTGGTGTATGGTTAAAACATGCTAGGCATTAGCTGAGAATGGTTATGTAGAACTGTTAAACATATAATATGCTGCTGTGACTGCTTTAATACATTTAAACCGAAGACCATTTTCATGTGGTTGCCAAAATAAAACTAGCATACTTTTCTCTGAAATTAGGCCATTTTCAAACACTTGGTGTCCTATATCTCCTTGAGAACTCAATCCTTTTGTTCAGTGGTAGGAGAAGAGAACAACTAGTCCTGTGCTGCATCACCTGGTAAATACTTCAGTAAGTCTAAAGCATACTTGAAGTGAGTCATAAACTTAGTAACAAAAACCCTACAACATTTCAAAGCAGATGCTGAAAATGAGTCACTCCAATGACATTGAAAGTGATTTTTACCCCATCATTTGTTCTAGTAATACCATGTGTCAAGAGTATCACTGCCAGGTGTCACATGCCTAAATCACCTGTTATGTCATATATACTGCTTCAGAAAATAATGCTTGTGTAATCTGTCTAAATGCAGCCGGACAGACCTCAAACTGTATTTAGCCTAAACAGCAACATTACTGCTAGCACACATTCATGCACACTAATCGATTAATTAGGCAACAGAACATGTTATTAGGTGTAACAAATGTAACCTTTAGCCTCACGTCCTATGAATCATAAATATTATTCTATACAAAAGTTTAAGTAATTCAGCATTTTGCTAAAGAAGACATCGGTGAAGTCAAATGCCCTTAAAATAAATAATTGAGAGTCAACAGGCCATCTTCTCTTGTAAAATATAGACAACATGTTTTTGAAGTCTTTCAACTACATAAATATATATAGTTAACCTCTAATATTTGGACCAGCTAAGCTACTTTAGCACATACACCCCCCTGACTTAGCTAGACTTAAATAAATGTTAGTTAAAAGTCAAACTAGAACAAAGTGATTATGATAGACTAAAGGAGGGGTAAACAAATATATTTCTTCACTGCACCACTATGGATGCATCAACAACTGGTCAACAGTTATTGATGAGGTGTGTCTTCTACTTCAAGTTATACATCAGAATGAGCCACCACAACTTGCTGAAACTATTAGGCTGCTTGGTTGAAAATAGTGTGAAAATTATAATTTTCACACCATATAATTATAACCTCTTCTGGCAACAACACCATATTGCAGTTTAACCAAAATCCAGGCCATCACCAATTGACACGCTGAAGCAGCAAGGTAAATGAAAGCATGTTGAACTATACTAAGAGACATGTCACTGTGTTGATGAAAGAAGAAAGAAGACAATTTATTTATCAATGACTCACTAGTGCTTACAAGCCTTGGCCTTAGTACAGTTCCTAATCCTTATTTCTAAGCGGTGCCTTGCTTTTCAAAATATTTTGTTTTAGGTTTAGGTTTAAAATACTGTGGTTTAAACAACAGGTGTACAATCTGATACAGGAAACATGTTAATAGAATGATATTATAGAAGAATCCCATATGTAACTATCAGTCACAATGACTGATAACTTCAATTAGAATGGATTTTAATTTTGTGGAACTAAGAAAAATATCCTGCCTTTTTTAAGAGAAGATGAGACATTTAATTGTCTTTATGTTGGTGTGCAAAAGTTTAGCCACGTGACCAGCCATGTTTACAGAGCCTTACTCAACCTGGTGCCTACAACCGATTAGGTGTCATATCAAATTCAAACAATAACAACAGAAAAAACTTTTTGGACCAATAAGAGTTTTCTTACTGGTACCATATCAAACTATTCTCATCCATGAAACTATTCTTACCCTTTAATCTACTGGTGCACCATGACTGCAATTCTCTTATCCAGCAAATTAATACATTTTTAGAATAGATAGTTTAAATTTCACAAGAAACAGCTTTTCTGAACTTACACAAAGAGTGGTCTCCCCTTCATAAAGACTTTACCTTAAAGTGTAACTTTACACCATTAGCAGATGATGCTTCTGTAATCTAGAGTAAAAAAACGAATGTAAAGAACAACTTTTATGGAACTCCTTAAAATAAAGATATTTTAGAACCAAACATGCAAATGAGTTACAGCCTGTTGCTATGGGTGACATAATATAACTTTAATGCCATAGGATGAGCTGTGATTAAATGACCTAGACTTCTGTGTTAGAGTGAATGTATAAATATCCATCCAGGCAATGATGTAAAGAACTCAGCAGATGTGACCCAGATAAAGTATTAAATAAATCATCTTGTTAATTGAGGACAGGTCAAGGACCTTTGTGTGAAAGTAGAGGTCAAAATGTTCTATAGGGAAGCTATCACTGGGTGACAACTAGTGAAGAAAACATTCTTATTGATAGCTGTGCCACAAAGCAAATATATACAGACAATTCCAAAAGTAATAACTAATCTTGCCAAGAACAGAATTATGGCCGTTGATAAACCAGAGGTGCTTTAAGGCAAACTAAATACCACATGTGCAACAGAAGCATTATTAGATTTTTTTCTATAACTATTACTATTTCTATAAGGTTTTTTTATATACAACAAGGGTAAAAAGTTCCTAAATATTCAAAAAATTGATTATTAGAGTAAAATCTGCCTTACATGTAGTGACTGAATGAATACATTTAGTCACTAGATTAACTAAAAAGAATTTTGACCTTTGGACAGGTGCAGTATTGTTTCATTGATATCCACAGTGCCTTGGAAAAGGTCATACCTGCTTCTAGGTGTAATACTATGTAAAGATCCTACCGAAAAACTAGATATATACTTAAATGAAGAAAATGCTAAAATGTTCCTTGTGGTTCATAGGGCAGTTTAACATTGAGAAGATTTAATGGTGAGTATATTCACCCAGCTTAGATGCATTTGACACGTTTTTGCTAGGATATGCAGCTTATAGAATGTATCGTGAAAAAGAACTCTCACAACATTAAGAGGTAAAAAAAAAAATAAACATCCAAACCAAGATAACTGCTTCAGGTGAACCAATGAAGGTGGAGGCACTGAAGAAAACTAATAATGAAACATTAAAAAAATCACTAGTTCCAAAAGTTCGCTATTAGACATTAAAGTAGAAAGTTTTTGAAATTGGATTCATTCTCAAACAAAAAAGACTAAACTGCTTCATTGTTAACTGTATGCTGTTTAGTTCTCAATCAGTAACCAAGATGAACAAACAATTGTAATATGAGCTGTTTTTCGTTTATATTCCCTGTCACATGTAGACAAAAAAAATAAGCATTGTAAGGTTGGGAAGATGACGTAAATTACGGGGCAGTACATTTATGAGTTGAAATATTCTGAAATCAAAATTGTAAAGGCATTTCTACATTATTTACGATGGAGCATTACCACTGCCTACAGGGTACCACCCACTTAGTTAAAAATAGAAATGATAGATAAAGGTCTCATTCAATAAGGGTTATAAAAGATTCTTTAACCACCATTGAAATATAGCTGTGATATGTAATATGACCAACAGTTTGTTTCAACAAAGTTCACACGAAAAGGAACATAAAAATAACACCTAAACAATGGGGGAAATAGAGAACAAGAGTCCTTGTGCAGGTTGAGAAAGCTGAACAAGCAAGCTGCAAAATGTCAGGGCTCAAATTTAATTCCCAGCTGGATGTTAAAACAGAGCCCAGTCATGAGGGATCCCTCTGAGGGACTACGGGGAATCCACAAAGTCAAGTATTCCTGTACAGTAGTCGCCATAAAGTAGTATTGCTTCTATAATCAAACCCTGTATTTATTATATTATGTTTTATCACAAGTACATTAATCTACGATCCTGTATTCCAACATATACGGTTCACTTCAAAAAATCCACATATGTGTATTTAGTCTGCCATCAATATTATGTTTTTTATCAGGTTTAAGTGAAGTTATGTTTATATACATCTTGGGTTATATGCCGAATTTTTTGCAATTGTTAAAAATGTGCATGTTGTTGGACGGTGGTTGGTCCTCTTGCCTTTTAGAAAGAAGGTCACCAGTCACAAGTGAACCCATTAAGTATCTACTGGTTATCTAGTATAGCATTGCATGTTCTCCCTAGGTGTGCATGTGTTTTCTCTAGCTTCCCCTCACAATTCTATCTCTATATGTGGTCATGTGATGGACATGCCTACTATCTGTGATGTATTTTGACCTCTAAGTGATAGAAGATGAATGAATAATTCAATTTTCCTGTATAAGTCTTTTGATGTGTCTTGTACACAACTAAAGGCTTGAAATATTAGTGTAGAACATAAAAAATGAAAGGACAGCTAAAAATAACCAAAGGTTTTTGTTATATGTTAAACAAAGATGACCTTTTGCACTGAATCTCACAAATATACTAACTGGAACACAACATCAATCACATAAGCCTCTATATCTATGTACTATTTTAGATCATAATTAATAATAAGTTAAGTTCATTGCTGTAATATTCTAACGTGTTGGAGAGAGAAGGGGCAACAATATGCGTTCAAATTTGAAGCTGACTCTGGAAAAAACAAACAGATTTATGTCCTGTAACCTGTCAAAAATCCAAACATCTGTCAACTCAAACAATGTAGCCCAGTAGTAGGATCCATCATGTCCTTCAAAACAAACATGTTTTTCTTTGTGTCACAAAAGGTTTTCTGTATTTTATAACTCATAAACCTAGGTTAAATGTATTATGTGTGTAAAGTTATGTAGTAATTACTATTGTGTGTACAATTGTAATTTGTGAAATAGACAACCATTCCATACAGGCAAACTCACAAATGATAAAAGAAAAACCACCGACTACCATGACAAAAGATTTACACACAACTGGTTTCATGATAAGAAAGTCACTTGATAATACAGTTCTAAGTACAGGCTAGTGTGTGTTTGTGCGAGTGTGTGTGTGTGTGTACTGACTCTTGTTCTTTCGAAGCAGGGCAGAGGAGATCCAGGGTTCCGACTGGACCATCCTGCAGGAGGCCACAGTTTTGTCCTCCACAGAAGAGGATGATGTGATCACCATGGAAATGCTTGGCAATTGTTCAATCCCAGAAGAAAATACTGTCACTCACAACACTCTGACAGGTGGGCGGAGCTTGTGACGGGGTCAGGTAACTGTCATTAGGCGTGTTTTCAATCCCAGAGTTCACTTCAACAGTTTACATCCAACTTAATCAACGAAGCTTGAAATGGTGGGAAACCAACCAACCAATCAAAAGGCACCGTCTTCTCTGGCTTATTTTCTATTGTAAGAATTTTTTTTGTGACTGTGGTTTCTAAGGCAACCAACTGGTGTACAGGCAGCTTGTCTCTCTGAAGTAAAAATATAAAGGATGCGTTCTCTGTCTTTTGTGAAGTTAAACTAAAGATATAATCTCTCAATCTACATATAAACTCTGTTCCTCTATGGGCATTGGGAGTGGGAGTAAATAGGATATTTGGTTAGTCAGGTTAGCTTTCATTAATATTGGTTTCGGCAGTTTCATGCATTCTTTCTGTGTGCTGGAGGATTGTGCCACTCCAGATCGCTGGTGACCAATGCTTTAGGTAGTCAAAGAAAGGTGTCTTCTCTAACACATCGTTTATTAGAGGCTAATCTTATTTCGGATTCTGACCTAAATGTCTAAGAGTAAAGAAAAAAACGTTTTCTTGCTTCTTATATATTCAATTAATTCCAGGAAGGACCAAGCAAACATGGGGAGCTAGTTTTCCTTCAGCCATTTTTAAAGTAGTGTTCAAGAACAGTTTACATGGCTAGCAGAGTCATTTTCCATGGACCAAAACAGTTTGTATTCCAACTTCCACAAAAATCCAAATTCAGTTTGGTTCCAACAGATCCGTTTGTTCTGCAGAATTAGTTCATCTTTTAATATTCTTCCAGCCTACTTGCAAAGCACATTAGGAGTTAGTTTGCCCTAACCATGTTCACCCAGCATGCTGTCAGGTGGGTTGAAGAAGGTAGTGTGACAGAAGGGGTAAAATAGAAGAGGTGGAGGGGAATTGGGTTTCCAGCTGCCCGCTTTTACCCCATCCCTTACGCTAAAAATAACTCCAATTACTGGTCGCTTTCGGTAAGGGTGGGGGACTGGTCACTGGACAGAATGGAGGGGTGAAGAGTGATGCTAACACTCAGATTAATCCAGTGACACACACTGTCCAGCAATGGCAATGTCACAGAGTCCAGGCTGCCACTATTCCACAGAGCCACAGAGCCGCCAGGGTCACTCAGATCCCCTTGACCTACCTTCTTTTAAATAATAGGAAACAAAGTAATCCTCGTACACTGCACTGATCGTCTATGTGATAACAAACAGGTGTAAACAAAGCCGTCCACTCAAACGTATTGATTTCACACGGACATGTAGTTCCAGACCAAGTTCCTCAGAGCACACATCCACGCACTGGTCCAACGGAAATGTTAAAGTTCGCTTTTGCACTTCACCACACTCCTTTTGTCATCGAGTGAGTGGTGGTAACAAAAAAACAGAATTAGAAAGTTTAGATCCAGGACCTGGCCCTTAAGAGCCAGACGTTTCCGCGTGTTAAGGAGTGAGGCATGTCAGGTCGCTGACGGCCTGTATTTATATAGAACTGCTTCCACACTCCCAACACCACCGTTTACCACAGCAACACGATCCAGGAAGGAGTCAGCCTCCGAGGTAATGACACCGAATTAAAACCACGAGCAACGGTGCCTACAAGGACCGAAAACTTGAAAGTCGCGTCAAACTTAAGTTTACATGGAGCAAATCCAGCGGAGTTTCCTGAGCTTTGCTGTCATACGCCTCCGGTCGCTTCTTGACGGGCTTCTTCTTCCGCCTACTTCGGCTCTCTTTCCGCTCAACTCACGTCCTTTTTGCTTTTAATACAAGCTTTGTGTGTTTTTATTCCTTCATGGTGGAAACCTTCACCGGGGGCGACGTACACTTAGGTTTCTCGCCCGTTTCTCTTTCAGCGCTTCTCCGTTGAACGGAATCTGTGCTCGCTCTCCCACACAGCTCCCCCACCCTGCCATAGCGGACTGTACCATGTCGACGTGACAGGGGGAGGCGGCGCTGCTGTGTCTGGCGCAGCCTCGTCACACAAGTGAAAAAGCCACTGTGCGGACACTGGCGGGTCATCAGTTAACATTAGCGACACAACACGTCAGGTTATTTCACAACACGCAACTTCTCGGATAACAGTAGATTTCCGTCCACTGTTGTCAACATCCAGAGCAAGTTAGAGGGACAACATCCTTCCCTCTGATCGTAGTAGACTGTTCCAAGCAGACCTCTCCGGTCCTGTCCATTTATAGTAACGGCAGGATATATATACTGGACTTTATATACACGTATACATAGGCCATTATAAGTTGGTTTAATCAGATATGACTTTACACTTCACCTTTAACGATGCCCTAAAACATAAATAATCCCACTCCTTGAGGGGTTCAAATTACTTGCTTTACCTAAAAAACTGACCCTTCGCTTTTGTTATCCTCAAATGAATGAGTAGTATAATGGTGTCACCAAGAACGGATTAAGGAAATTCGGACTATCATTCTATGTGAATTTGATTTCTCCATTATTAAATAGGTCAAGTAAAATTGGGAGTTTAAAACGTTGTCTTTATGAATATAACCTCTATGTGACTAGTGGACAGCTGCACGTCCTTCCTACTACTAAACAGTTCTCTCACACGAGCTCATTTTGTTCCTTCAGTCTTTGAAAACATTTCAACTTCTCTGTGCTCTCGGGTACACGCACCTTCAACAGCCTCTGTTGCTACCCGACGCCGTGGCAGCTCCAACGCAATTGGCTGCACCAAATCCAGACTGAGGCCGCAATTGGCTAGCAACAGGGGCTGTGGGTGGGGCTACAGGCTTTGGTTTCCCACTGTCTCTTCAAACGGCGCGAGGCAGGAATGACGCGGAAATAGTTTGAAGATGTCAGGTAGAAATAGGAAAGGGGGAGGAGGAGGTGCAGCCCGGGGAGCGAGGGCGGGGGAGGGGCCAAAAGGCTTGTGTGAGCACACGGTCACTGAGTGACTCTCCACAGCTGAGATGGTGTGACTTCTCCTCACAAAAGCAGCCAAAGCTAAAAGTTGTTACTGTTGCTATCCGAGCATTCCGGCTAAATCAGGCACAATGCTGCCCGGGAACAGCTCAGCACACCAACACACAGAAGCACAGTCATACACAGCAGCTGACAGGCCCTTAAAGGAAAATCACCCTTGAAACACAAGTCGCTGCACTGACCAAATGTGTGTCACCTGAGCTATCTTTTGTTATTAAGTCCTTACTTTTTACATCCTAATTCATACCTATTCATAATGTGAAATTGCAAATAAGGTTAAGAATCGTATTAACAGACGTGTTCCTATGCATACATGCAAATGTGGCAAGTTTAGAAAATGACCTAAACATTTGGAAAATTACATTTTTTTTTGAATTACCACTACTGTACTTATGTTTTTTGATGATAAAAAAAAGTTTGGTATGAGGATAATTATTTATAAACATGTAGCCTAGCAAATAGGTTAAAACATTAATTGTCAAACATATTATTTAATCAATTGGTCTTTTTAAATGTAAAAAAAATAAAATTATTTAAAATTAAAATGTTATAATAATTTATTGGTTATAACAATCAAGTAACATGTGGGAAATCTGTATACATTTGACCTTGCCTCCTAAGTTATTGTTTGGAAATCAGTTGTTTTATCAGTACATAAAAGTTTAATTTTTCACTTTAAGCCTTATAGCCTTTGAATACATTCTTGTATCTTTAGTTTAGTTTAGTTCAGAAGACATAAAGCATTTGAGAATTCCAGGTTTTTGAAATGATTAACACATTTTATCATGATTGTTTTGTCATAGAGGACTAATCAATCTAATTAAACACCAAAAGCAGACTGAAAATAATATTTTATTGCAAACCTAGATTTTGATGGTAATACACCGGAACTACAAGCCCAAACTAGCTACAGTCCGAATTAGTGCACTCTCCCACACACTGAAACAGCTGACCAGTCACAGCTAAAATAGGATGGCATGGCCTAATAACAGGGTCTAATAATATAGCCTGCATCAAAGTGATCCATCTCTAAAATATGTCACAAATAAACAAATGATGCAACATAATAAAGCAATACAACCTGTAGTATACTTTAAGTAAGCATGGACACCAAAACAATAAGTGAATTCAGATGTATCGGGTATAGGTGGTCATTATCAATTATTATATACACACACAAGTGTATATATACACTAAGTATTTTTCTTTAATTTATTGAACAAGAAAAAAACAATGACAAAAAAAATTATGTGGTGTTATAAACACAAAAGTATATGAAGCTGCTTAGTTTTCAATATTTGTCAACTTTGTCAATTCTGATTTACTTTATATTATTATTAAGATAATATTTTTCATTTTAATTATATTTCAAATCTGTACAGTCCATTGAGACAAATGTATTTTGTGAATTTGGGCAATATAAATAAAACTGACTAACTTGAAAAAATGTGCAATTTTTTACAGACAATTTAACAGCATTGTTTTGAATTATAAAACTTGAAATTTCCATGTGCGACACCCTCATGTTAGAATTTCAGAAGAGTTCTAGTTCTATATAAGCAGCAGCAGCCAAACCATTCAGATACACAACCAATAGTATGAACATTTTCAAAAACAACAGAGACACAGAGCTTAACTAAATTCTTCTCTGCCTTTTAACTAACCTGCTGTGGGCATTTGTCTGTTTGCACTGAGGAGAAACACTGAGTGTGCCGTATTTCAGCTCATCGTGCAATTGCCAAGCCCACAATTATCTTTGCTCCACAATTACAGACGGAGGAGCAACAGGTGAAAAAAGTGTACATACTGGTTGTAAATGCATGCAGTGTATGACCTACATGGTACTTTTGTAGTTTCTTGGCCTACAACAAAATAAATAAAGTCACAGTACAAACCATTTGCAATTTAACTTTTAAAAAATTATTTTAGATTCCTACTTTGAATGATGGACTGAAACATTTTCTTTATAAATTTCAGATTTTTAAACATTTAGATTTAAACTTAAAGAAACAAAAATAATAATAAATGCAATCAATTATATAAAATTCTGTTATTGGTCAAACTTATATTCAAATGGAAGAGGTAGATTCCCCCTGAAAACCTTTTGGGTAAAAGTCCAACATAAAATATTCTTTCTTTGAAAACAGGGTATGGTTTTCAAAGAAATACAAATCAAAATGCTTCACATTCATTAAGTAATTAACTCTTTTTTACTCAATTTTTTTAAATTTATAAATCATTTGGCTACTTGAAAGATTATCAAGAAGGAAATATTGACCAGTTTGTCTTTGCACCTCATAGTGGCAATGTCCTCAAATGTTTTATTTTGTTTGCAAAATACAACATTTTGTTTTTGTTAACAAATCAAAATGCTTCACATTCATTAATATAAAATCAAATAAATTATAATTGAAAATACTGGTTATTAAACATAATGACAAAATATTTTAGTCTCAAATTTAACATATTATGTTTATCTTTAAAAAGAGAAATTTTAAATTACATTATATAATTATTAAGTATCGTAAGTATTGTAATATTGGAACGGTTTAATTATTTCAACCTGCAACCGTTTGCGTTTCCTGCTGTGCGCTATAACCTCTTAGTGCACATTAGGAAACAGCTACTACCGTGACACTTTTTAAGAAAACATATTTCAAAATTCAAATAAAAAACACTTGCAAATTATGTATTTATTTTACCTAGTTTATTTAGTCTGTTGTAACTTAAAACTAAAGTCACACATACTTTTAAACAGTCAAATGTTTAGGCATAGCAAATAACACATTAAACTCACTCAAAACTCTCTAATTCTTTCCACTTAGTCATTTAAGCCAGCGTTTCAATTTTAATGAAATATACTAGCTTTCAGCGCACTGCTCACGAAGTCAGTGACAGAGCTTATTGCGACTGGCAGAAAGTGCAGCTTCCACAGCAGCTAAACCAGGCTGGATTGTGATGTTGTTTTAACATTGTTCTATCGGTGAAACTGCGCACAAATGTCAGTATTTCCCCTCACACAGTTTCTCGGTGGCTTCCACTAAGTCACGTTCAGCACTACTGAGGGCCAGACAGCGGAGATTACAGCGGCAGCACACTCTGACACTCACGTGCCTTGCAGCAAAATTCCACCCGGCAACTATGCGCTGTACCATGGCAACAGCGCCGCCATTGGTCCCCGGTGCGTTTTCAAATGACCAATGGGAAGGCCGGCCGCGGGTGATGCTTGTTGCTAGGTAAACATGATGCAGAGGGAAGATAGAGGAGCCGAATTACCATGCTGCTACTGCAGGGTGCTTTCAGCGCAGGAGTGGAGGGGCTCTGCACATTCCCCCTTCTCCTTCTCAGCACTTGGAGGTGCCAGAGAGACAAAAACAAAAAGAAGCATAGAATGACACAGTATGTATGTATATAGCAGTGGACTGGTTTATGGCCTCTGGGAAATGGTGCTGCTTGCTGCACGCACGAAGGCCATTAAAGTACTACAAGCTAGCCTGCTAATGTTACATTCAGAGTAACAGAAAGACAAGTGTTTCTTTTACCTTATTATTAGTTAATTCAATAATTTACCAAAATGTCTATTTCTACTAAAACAGAAATTTTTGCTGCATGTATATTCAATTACATTCAATATTCAATAACAGGGTAAGAAGGAAATAATATGCATGTGCTTTTCCCCTTTGTTCATTTATATATATACACACACACATACATATATAGGTATAGATAGATATATAAATATTATACATATATATACACACACACACACACACCCATACACACAATCTATTGCTTTCCTGCAGGTGATGATACAAGTTCAGTTAAAATGCCCTTTGAGTATGCAAAACACACAGATATAGTTCTAATCCTATAGCTTGGGCCATGAACAATATGTTTAGGTTTGGTAAAAATCAAGTGTACAAAAATGGATGGATGTACAAAAAACACCATCTTAGGACAGACATGTTTGAAGAAGTGGGACATCACATTGACAGCCGGTCAAAATGATGATAAAGCTGTCACAATATTTAAAATCAAACCAAGGTTTTCTGTGTATTGTCCTCTTTGGTTGTTCTATGTATTGATATATATATCAAAGGTAAAACATGGTAATTGCAACACACAGAACCAATTTTCATTTTTAAGTAAACAAATAAATACTTTTGATCCTACATTATACTGTGATTGAGAGGGCTCAATCACCCAGAGACCTCTTTAAGAAGAATCATTTTCAACATTTACCTTTATCAGAGGTCACTACAAAGAGTACAATCTGATATTGGCTCAGTTTTATCACTGAATGCCCATCCTGATAAAACTCTCCTCATTTGTCAGAGATTAGGGTGAGACACAGCTAGATTCAAACCAACAACCATCCAAGTAAAAGATAAACACTATCCACTGAGCTAAAACCACACCTCAGAATACCTTGTTAAATATCCAGTTTTACTCACTGTACTATGTCAGACTCCTTACCTTAACTAAACCAAGAACCTGATTTCTGAACTGTTTTAATTAATATTTAGATTTCAAATCACATGTGTGAAAGATGTGGAGATAGGGGTGGGCTGGGGAAGGGGGCATGTGTCGCTGCAGAATATGTCCTGAATGCACAACACAAACAGTTAAAATAAAAAAAACAACACCTGCAGTGGTCTCAACTTTCATTCAAACATTCATTTTAACAGTAGAGCTGTAAAGAGCTTCTGCCCTGCAGGGCAAGAAATGGCAGATTACTTGAGCCCCAAATGAGGCGTTTCTCATTTGAATTCAAACGTCACCTCATCTGGACGTCAGCAACCAAGCACTCAACTCAGAAAGCGCTGGCATATCAAAATGAGAGCTGCTTCTACTTCTCTCATTGCA